CTCTTGCTTTATTTATTTATTTTTATGTGGTGCTGAGGATTGAACCCAGGGCCCCACGTGTGCTAGGCAAGCGCTCCACAGCTGAGCCACTATCCCAGCCCCAAAGGTGGTGACTTCTTCCTGAGGGACTGCAATGAGTAGAGCCTCCTGCTTCTGACAGACACATGTAAGAGCTAACCCACCTAAATGTGGAAGTTAATTATCACAATGTAACTTGCATCCTTGTTGTTGCAAATGACAGGATCTCTTTCTTTTTAAAGGCTGAATAATATTCTATTGTGTATATATATATATATATGTATATATATATATATATATATACATATATATATATATATATGCCATATACCTATTCTGATTAATACATTTTTATTAATCGGAACTCTTATATTTGCAAGTATAGAAAACCAACTCAAACATTTAAAAAAAAACCACTAAGAACAGACAGGGATGGGAAGAGGTTATTGGAAAAGGTTCTGGGGTCTTATGGATTCCAAGGGTAGGGCAGCAGCTGGACTCAAGAATAGGACCAGAGCATGAAGCCTTTTAGGGAACCCAGGTAGTCTTTTGTCTCCTATTTTCTGCTTCATCCCCTCATGCATGCTTCACTCCAGCTTTCTCTACTTCCCAGGTTACGTGATGGAAAATGGATGTTTCTGCTCCTGCTCCTGTTGTCATCTATGAGTAGTGGCTTCCACTCAGGAAAACCCCCAGATTTCTGGCGTTAGCAGGTGGGTGGATGGATGCTAGAGGTAATGCTGGAATGGAGAACACCGAATGAAGACCAAGTTGGGAGAGGAAGATGATGAGTTCAGTTTTGATAAATCAAGTTTGAGACACTCATTGGAGATCCAAGTGGAGAGAGTCAAGAAGCGGGGAGCATGGATCAGGAACACCGTGTGGATGAGTGAGAGTGATGGTTTAGGTCTGGGATCTCTAGGAGAGAGAAGAGAGCAGATGACTGATAAATGTGAGCCATAGGCTGAGGAGGAGCAGGCCAAGGAGATGGAGACGTGCCACATTCCTCGCAACAAAAACACTCAGAGTCACTCCAGGAGAACTGTACCACGCTTAAATAATCACACAAGAGACAGACAAACCTTTTTCTTGGGGGGGTCCTGTGATGGCTCCTCTGACCTTAAGAATCCGCAGAAAGAGAGAGCCAGTAAGTGCTGTGCTGACCCTTTTATTGAGGAGAAGCCATTCAAATGAGTCAAGGGGTCAGGTTTCAGGGGGTTGAGTCTAGCTTTGTGATGTCAGCTGTCAGCAGGTTGACTGACATCTAGGAAGGCCACACCCAAAGGCAGAGCAAGAGACAGGGACACACAAAGGGAGGTTCCATGAAACATTCTATCCCAAACAGGGCAAAGGGGTAATATCACAAAGGAACAGGTGAGCGTAGCTCAATCCATGGGGCTGCAGGAAGGCATGCCTATGCAGGAAGACACATTCTGCTACTTCCGGGCAGTGTCTGGGGCCATTACGAATGTGGCCAGATCACTACGAAAGTGACCAGAAAGTGACTGGCAGAGCCTCTATTGATCACAGGAAGGAAAATGCTGGTCATTCGGTGTGACGTCCTCCCACAGAGAAGCAGGTAGCATAGAAGTGGGACAGGAGAACAGAGATTATGTGTCTGTCTCATTTAGCCATCCCTCAGCCTGGCAAGGTTGATTGTATGGATGAGAAAACCAACACTCAGAGGCTAAGTGATGTCCATCCATAATCATGAAGTTGAGAAGCAGCAGGATTAGTCTCAGGTTCCAGGTCTGGGCTCTGAAGAGCAAGTGGGGCTAGCATTCTGGAGGAGTGGAGCCTCCAACAACAGGTGGGCAGGGATGGGGGGGGGATGCAGAGTAGAAGGCCAGAGTTTGGCTAAGCTGGGCCTGTGGCATAGGGTCAGGGCACTGTTTCAGATTCCTGACTCTTCTTCCTGCCAGGATGGATCCCACTCCAGTTTCCCACTGTAGCCCTTCCTCCAGGAAGGAAACTGAGCATTTGAAGGAGGATATCTAACACCCTGGTTCCCCTCCACCATGGAGAAATCCTCTTCTTGTTTGTTCACAGTCTTTTCCTCATAAATAAATAGATTGTTTAGGGCCCAGTGAACGAGTGCCGAGGGTGAGGACGTGACCAGCTGCAGTTCCTGGCTCAAGATGGAGTTCCTTCAGTGAGGCTGGCAGGAAACCAGATAGAACCTGCTCTGGCAGCGTGACCAGGTGCACCCAGCATTGTATGAGCCTCTCTCTGAATCCTCTGGTGAACATCAGATTTTTGCAATCTAAATCAAAATTTGATTTTTTAAACCTATTTTTCATTTACTGTACTGTACATATTTTTCATACCATACTATAATATTTAAAGTTAAAAGAAAAAATAATCCTTGCATTCATCTAACACATCCTTTGATTTGTGTTTGTTTCCAGTACTTGATCATGGGGAAACATATTTGTATGTACTTTTAATTATTACCTGGGTAAAACCAAACATAAAATTACAAACATTGTCCCACACTGCTTTGTTTTTTATAATTATATATTTCAATGCCTTAATTTTTTATTTTTGAAAATCTTTGATCAGTTTTTAAAATCTCAGTAATGCACATGGAATAAAATTTAAAAGGTACAGAGTGGTAGGTTTGAAATATAGGTCTTATTCCTACCCCTTTTCCCTATAAATGAAGTTTCCTTTCCTGGAGGCCTAATTATGATAAAAATCTTCTTTAGAGGTATTTCCTGTATGCATTTTTCTTGTAGTAGCATACTATGTGAACAGTTCTGTACTTCAGCCATGTTTCAGATCACTACATAAAGAACATCCTCATTCTTTTTTTAACAACTATGAAGTATTCTACTGAGTGATTTACTAGAATTTATTTAGCTAGTCCTCAGTGAAGACATTTAGGTTATTACAAATCTTTGCTTCTAGATCAAGGCTGTAATGAGAATCCATACACAAATATGTGCGTGTATTATTTTACGCAAGGTGAGTACAGAGGTTGCATTTCTAGAAATGATTTTCCAAGTCAAAGGATATGTGTTTTTATTTTAATAGATATTGTTATATTGCCTTCAATAAAAGTTATACAAATTTATACACTTAACAGTTGTGTACAAGTGTTATGGAATTTTAAATATACAAGTCATGGAATTTTCAATTTCTAACATCTTAACATTTTTTTTCGTTAAAAAAGTTTTATAAAATAAAAAATCTTAACATAAGCCAAGTGCAGCGGCGGCATGCCTGTAATCCCAGCCACTTGGGAGGCCGAGGCAGGAGGATAGTGAGTTCAAAGCCAGCCTCAAAAACTTAATGAGGCCCTAAGCAATTTAATTACTTGAAGTTTGCCAGAAAGTCTGGCAAAGTTTGGTCCTACCATAAGACTGGACAGCCTCATGTTAAACCTGAAATACAAAGATTCATTAGGTGAGAGATTTTGACTAGAAAACTGTAAGAGTCCTTCAACTTAGGTTCTGTCACTAAATGACTCTAGCACTCTAAGTTGGTAAGAATTTAAAACTATAACTCTAAAATTGTATTAAAACAGGAGACAATCTCTGTCTTCAAAGAACCATCTAGTAGATGAGGAGGAGAAATAGTTACTCTCACTAACTATAATAAGTARTATTAAGGAGTGACTGCAAGGCCTGGAAAGGATCTGGGAGGGAGACCCCACTGAGCCAGGGCTATTTCCTCAAGGCTAGTCTCAAACACTATGTGCATCAGAGTGTTTGGGAATCTTGTTAAAAATGCTGATTTCTGGGCTGTATTCCAGATCTCCTGAATCAGAACCTCTGGAGTAGAGCCCAAAAGTCTACTGAGGGGCTGTGGCTATGGCTTAGCAGCAGAGTGCTTGCCTGGCATGTGTGAGGCACTGGGTTTGATCTTTAGCACCACATAAAAATAAACAAATAAAATAAAGGCATTCTGTCCATCTACAACTACARTCAATCAATCAATCAGTCTACTGTGTTAAAACAAGTTCCCCGGCTGATTCTTAGGCAAACTGAAAATTGAGACTGCACACCTAGGTGGTCAGGATGACTTCTCTGAGCAGAGATCACCAGACTGAGAAGGAATAGCTGGGTCAAAACATGTGACCACAGAAACAACCCAGAAAACAATGTGTTTTGATGGAGATTAGAGATTTTGTACAAAATGTCCACCATGTGGTAGGTCTTTTTAAAATGATAGCATTTCTTAGATACTATATCTTGACATTCTGTGAACTGCAGATATCCTAGAGCAGATCTTTGCAAAGGCTGAGTATGTTACTAATTATTGCAAGGCCTTGGTCTGGTTTTGAAGATTTAGATAGGCCCCCTACAGAGTCCCTGCTTTTTTTGGAGACTGCAATGTCACCAACAACATTTGAATGAGGACCTGATGGCTGGAAAATGAAGAGTGTTCTGGGACAGAGACAGGTTGATGTGCCAGACACAAGCTGGTCAGGCTTGAGGGACCTATTGAAACTTTGGTTGCAGGAGAAACCTGCTGGGGCTAGGGAGAGGGATGTAGTGGATTCTGAGTCTGAATTCTGCCACTGACTTGCTTGGTGAGCATGAGCAACTCCACTCCCCAATTTGGGGGTCTGTATCCTGTCTGGAAAAAAGGCTTTGTGTTACAATCAGGCGTTTTCTCAGTGACCCTCCAGTTTTCATATTTTGTATTCCTGAGAACTCGTTTGGTCCTACCATAAGACTGTGAAGAACGTATGCAGGAACCGTACCCACTTCACAGACAGGAAGCCAAGGTTCAGCAAGGAGGCAGTAACTTGCCTATCACAATACAGACACGGAATTCGGTCTCAGGTCCAGGAAGCGGTACGGGGACAGAAGGTCCGATCCCACAGCAGGGTGAGGCTAAGGAGCTGGGCGGGGGCGCCTGAAGCCAGCCCCGGGAAAAGTGGGTGTGCTGAGATCGGGCGGGGTCAGGGGAGGAGTCACCCTGGGGAAGGGAAAAGGGAGCTGAGCGCGGTTTAGAGTGCAGAGCCCCCGAGGGCGCAGGACAGTGCTGGGYGCTGTCGGAGCGCACCTGGAGGGGCCAGAACTCCGAGGGGCGCTGTGCCCAGATCACCAAGAGTAGAGGGCGCCTCATCCAACGAGCGCTCTTGGGTCTTTGCCAAGAGGCAGGTAAGGCGCACTCTCAGGGCTGGGAAAGCTGAGCTGCAGCTGGAGATTAAAAAAAAAAAAAAAAAAAAAAAGCAGCGAGATCTTTGGGCCTCTCTTCCTTGGGCCAAAACACGTTCTTCTTGAGAGCGCGGACCCAACAAGGGTTGCAGTTTAAGAACCAAGCAGATCCTCCCAGGGCAGAGAGCAGATATTCGCGGCATGAGGAGCTGGACACCTTGCATACTAATGCTAAGCCAGGAAACCGCGCGCGGGTGTGTGTGTGTGTGTGTGTGTGTGTGTATGTGTGTGTGTGAAAGAGAGAGAGAGGGAGGGGGAGTGTGTGGGGGGGGTGGAAGGGTGGGGGTGGAGGGGTGGACTTGCACCCATGCTCCCAGGCCCCCCAGAGGGTGGCATAAAAGCTCCTCCACGCCTATAGGAATGCAAGCAAATACTGGTCCGCAGCTCCTGTACACGAGGAACTCCATTCCAGCGGTCAGTGTTTTCCGCTTGGCCAGAACTGCTGGCTTTGCAGAGTTGACTTACTCATTCTCTACTTGGTTGTGTCTCTCACCCTGACCAACCCAGTACCTGGGAAAGCATGGGGACTCCCAGAGGCTTCTGCTGCTGCTAGTAACCTTAAGGATTAGTCTGGTGGTCCAGAGATCTGGGTTTCAGTGAGCAGGTTGTGTTGCCTGCTCTGTGCCTTGTGCTTTCTTATTCTGGTTCACCACCAGTAAAATGAGTCTTGTGCTCCTGTTGCTTAGTACCCAAGGGACGTGAGGGGAAGGGGAGCCTGGACCTGGAATCTCTTATCTAGTAAGTAAGTACTCAAGCTCAGCCCTAGTGTGAGAGCCCACTGAGAGTATCTCCTCTTAATCCCCCTCTCAACTCTCCTGGGCAACATTAACCTAGGGTCACACCTGGATCCAAAGAGAATTAGAACCAAGTTTCTTCACTCCTACTCCAGGGCTCTCTCCACAATCTCCTACAAAGGGATATTGTAAGGGTAGAAACTCATTATCTCCTGGCATCCAGCCACTTTGCCAGTTCCAAATGGAGGAGGTAACATGCTAGAGGCACGGAAACTGCTTTCAGATTTTCTTGACTCCTTGGGATGAAAACCAACAACCACATTCTCCATCCTTCCCACTTCACTCTTCTCAAAGTATATTCCTACTCATAAACTTAATGTGTGGGTGCTCCAAATTCCTTCTAAGAGGAAGACAAGAAAACCCATCTTATTAAGGAGGAAAACAAGACCGAGGGGAGAAGGTTCTTAACACATGGCTAGACTGTTGGAAAATGGAGGCAGAAACCCAGGTCTATTGATTTCCAGGACTTACAGAATGGTGCCTTCAAATGGTCAGGGACTATAAGAATGAYCAGAGAGGGTGGGAAACAAGGATGGGTCTGAAGGAAGTAAGCATTTCTGAAAATCACAAAGAGTAATAAGAGCCCCCGGCTGCTTCTGAGGGTAAAAGAGCCAGAGTGGGGAGAGGTGGCATCAAGATGGCTGGTCTAACTGATATGGGGGAGGGGGAAAGTTGGAGACAGAGAGGCAAACAGTGACCAGGCTGCCCAGTAATATTCTCCTATGTTTACAGCTTCTAAAACACTTTCCTATCTGTTGTCTCCTTCAGTTTTCATGTGTGGTAAGCAGGGCAGGGATAATTATTCCCATTTTATAGATGTGGTTCAGAGAAAATAAATGTGGTCCTCAAGGTCACAAAACTAAACATGGAGCCAAGATTGGAATCTGAAAGGAACCCTTGAAAGGAAAGATCAGAAGCCAAGAATGAGACCTGGATTAAGTGTGTGTGCTGTGTAGTGGGTGTGTAGAGCCACACCCTCCGTAGGTATACAGSGAAGAAGACTGCAAAACCATTGCTTGTGTTTGGGGCCCAGGAATGTTTGCTCTTTGGATTAAATGGGGTTCAGGTGCAGGAAGTGTCTGAACTTCCAAAGGACTCTCATAATTCCTCCTCCCCTAATTAACCCCACCTGATAGAGGCAGCTTCTTTTCTTTGAACCTTCTCTTTCCCAGACTAAATGAACAATCTGTTTTTGCCAGTCCTTGATGTTGCTTCTCTTTTTAAAAAAGTATTATAAGCTGTTTACATGATACAGAGAGAGAGTGTGAGTGTGTGTGTGGCCGTGTGTATAGAGGAGGTATTGATTCATTTATTCCTGAGTGCCAGCTGTGTCCTCAGGCGTGGGGAATAAAGTTATGTATGAGGCAGAAGTTCTGGCCCTCAACACTTCACAGCACCTGCACACGCACACAATTTCATTACAGCACAGTGCTCTAATAGAGCTTTGTGCAAAGCACTTGGGGAATAGATAAGAGGGAGAGAATAACTGTCTAGGTAGTAGGGAAGGGGGTGTCTCAGGAAAGGATCCAAGAGTTGACATTGAAGCTGGATCCTGAAGGATGATGAGTAGGTGTTTGCTGAGTGGAAGGAAATTCCTGCTAAGAAAACAGTATAATCAAAGGCAGGAGGTGTGCTAGTGCAAGGAATGCTTAGAGAATGGGTACAGGGCACTGGGAAAACTGTAGGGTGATGGGGCCAGTGTCGGTGTCTTATCCAAAGAAGTTTGAATGATAATCAGAAGAGTTTAGACCCTACTTTATAAGAAGCAGGGAACTTATGGTGGAAATATCTGTGGAAGGAGAGTAGGAATACCTGATTTTTGGTCCCATCCCTGCCTCTACCAAGCGTAAGACCTTGAGCAAGTGATTCCTCAAGGTATGGATGGTTGAAAGAGGGTGCATACTTACAACCTAGTCATTAAGATCCCTTCCAGCTCAGATTCCATTCCTGTGTCTCTTCCCAACTAGATGTTAAGGTCCACCCTTAAACTCCTCTCCCACTCCACAGGCTTTCCAGTCTACAGCAGTGAMAAGGCCATCAAAATGACAGTGGCAACACTGTATACCTCAGGGGTTATCTTTGGATCTCCTATTTGCTTTATGTCACTTTTTCTATCTGCCTCTCTTTACCTCAACTCCAAGGCCTTAAGACACTCATCCAGAAAGAGTAGTTGAAACAAAGCAATAGGGAACTAAAGGAACCAACAGTGGAGTTTCACTTTTCCCCAGAGAAACCTGAAAGAAAATGTCACTAAGTTTATCCTTCATATCACACTTGTACCCCAATCCCCAAATTAGAGGCTGGTGAGTGCAAGTCAAATACTTTTTTTTTTTTTTTTAAAGAGAGAGAGAGGGAGAATTTTTTAAATATTTTTCAGTTTTTGGTGGATACAACATCTTTATTTTATTTTTATGTGGTGCTGGGGATCGAACCCAGCGCCCCGCGCATGCCAGGCGAGCGCGCTACCACTTGAGCCACATCCCTAGCCCTCAAGTCAAATACTTTTACAGAGGACCTGTTTATGTGATGGAAATAGCAGGAGCACAGTGTAGACAGAGAGTTCTTGTGAGTCAGGAGTAGGTCTAGAGCAGAGCAGCCATGGGAAATGAGACCACAGAGGAAGGCTGGCTGTCTTTCAAAACCTACCAACTCCCCCTTAATTGGATCCTTGAYTAAGATTGGCAAGAATATGTAGTATAGGGAAAGGTAGTGATAATAGAATCAGGGGAGGATGCCCCATATCTTGAGGAGGCAGTGTTTGGTGTAATATCCAGCTAGGATGCAAGGGAACACTGTCATCTGAAGTAGAAAAACAGCCCAACAAAGACCTGGGTTCTCATCCAAGTTCTGCCACTCACTGGCCATTTCATTTTGGACTAGTTACTTCCCCTTTCTGAGCATCAGTCTCCCCAACCACAGAAATGGAGACTTGGGCCTATAATCTAAACTGGAGATGGTCTTTAAAATCCCTTTCAGCTTGCTCAGGAACTTTTTAAAATCTTTTTTTCTAAACCGGTCCATCTTGGGAGCTTGGTGATCCATTGATGCTCTCTTAGAGAGGGAAGCCAAAGAGCACAGGAAAGAGAAGCAAAATGTCCAGTGTTGCTGACTGCCAATACCCAACCTGAAATCAAAGGCAGGTCACAGAGAACCAACCTGTCCTTTCATTAGCTCTCTGCCTCTCCTGACTAAAACAGGATGCCCTTGTACCCAGGCCCTCATCCCCATCCAAACCCATGGCCTATGGCCTCTTTGCTCCTCCCATCAGAACCACAAATACCTGGGTCTATCCACAGAAACCCTAGTAGGAGAACCTGATGATGAATTTTCACACCTTTCAGTGAACCCCACCTCAGAGCCCACCCTGTCCTTCACACTGTCCCATCCACCACTTTGCACACATTATGTCTCCTCCCCATGCTAGACCACTTATCAGCAGGTGGACTGCTAAGAGGGAAAATGAACAAGTCAATTGATTTGGTTCTTTGCTTATCAAGACTGGAATATTAGGTATAAGTTGGTCCCAGGGCTCAGGAGTACCTTTTTTTTAAAATATTTTTTTGAGTTGCCATATTTTATCTATATGTGGTGCTGAGAATCAAACCCCATGCCTCACACATGTAGGCAAGCGCTCTACCACTGAGCCACAGCCACAGCCCTCAGGAGTATCTTAACCTGAGGAAAACATCTGCAGTCTTCTCTATCTTGGGAATTAAGGGGCTCTAAAAAACCATCAAAGTGCCTCTCCCACCAGTCTAACCAATCTCCCAAGATCTCACAGCCTGGTTTGTGATCTGTACTGTCACAGGATGTTAGAGCTGATCAGATCCCTTCATTTTACAGGGGCAGATAGAAGCTGAGAGGAAAAAAAAAAAAAAAAAAAGGAAGTCATATGCCCAAAGTCACACAAGTAGCAGCTGAGCCAAGGCAGCTCCCTGGGTTTCCATTTCTCTCATGAAATGAGGACACTTAAACTAGATGGACTTTGAAGGCCCTTCCAGCCTCTTCTTTATAAAAATAAAACATCTGCCAGTATCTGGGGAGTGTCTGGTTCCAATGCTTCATAATATTCTGCTTTAATTTTCCCAAGAAAAGTGTGCACAAATAGTGTTAATTGTGAGACAATTGAATGTATTTGGACCCTGTCTGTCTAAATAGATTTGATCAGTAGCACATCATTTGTTATTACATAACTACCATTCTACCACTTGCATCACTTCCTTGGGATTCTTTTTTTTTTTTAAAGAGAGAGAATTTTAATATTTATTTTTCAGTTTTCAGCGGACACAACATTTTTGTTTGTATGTGGTGCTGAGGATCGAACCTGGGCCGCACGCACGCCAGGCGAGGCGCTACCGCTTGAGCCACATCCCCAGCCCATTCCCTTGGGATTCTAAAAGTCTCTTGGGTAGGGGGATGTTTTAAGCTGCACCATTAGCTGATCCCACAGCAGGAGTCCATATATTAAACTGGGGCTTTTCATGAAGTCACGCAGTTAAGACATTGTGAGTCTGGAGCTGGGAGACAGCAATCTGGTGCCTCTTGGCCACTGCATAGTTCCTGTAAGTACAGCTCTAGGCAGGCCTGACCCAGCTGCTGCAGGAAGGGGAGGAGAACTAGAAGGGGGTCTGAGCCCACAGAAAGACTATTGCACAACCCTCAGGAACTGGCCTTGAGTGATCCACCCTGGTTTTGAAGTTTGTTCTGTGTGCCTGGTTTCTTCTTCCTTCCCATTTTCCAGCTCTGGCCCCTTCAAGTACCTAAAGTCAATCCTGAGACCCCAGACATGTCCAGAGACATCCTGAAGAGACTGAGCAACTAAAGAGCCTTAAGGTATCCACAAGGAGATTCCTGAAGTCATCTCAGAGTCAGAGAGTTGGCCTGCCATTTGGTGAGTTTTTTAGATTGAGGTTACCCTCCCTCTAGCCGTCATTTAAAGCCTCTTTCCAAGGATACCTAAGAAAATTAACAATAGTGACTGCCCTGGCAAGGAGCCCTGGATGACCAGGAATAGAGAGAGTTCACCTTCATAGTATGTACTGATTTTATTTAAAAATATATATATATGTATTTGTTTCTAAAAAATTAAATTATATTCAACATAATAAAAATATATGCTTACAGCAAGCCTTTAGGGAAGCCAGGGCAGGGGTGATAACCTTTTTTGTTTGTTTTAACTGTGGTAAAAAAACACATAACACAAAATTTGCCATCTTAACCATTTAAGTATTAGATAATGTTAACTATTTTCATATCATTGTGCTATAGATCTCTAGAACTTTTCCATCTTGCAAAACTAACATTCTGTGCCCATTCTATAACAACTCCCAATGATGGTCTATTTTGTTAGATAAGAAGACTGAAGGCTAATCAGGGAATACTTCCCTTAAACTGTGCTCCTCTAGACACATATGCTGTCTATTGTCTACCTGTAAACTTGTCTGAGGTCTCTTCCTCCTTCAACCCACATTTAGCCCTTCCATCCTCCAGACAACTGTCACATCTCCACATCTGTTCCTGCCCCAGCCCAGTCATCCCTTCTGCCCTCACCCAAGACTCAGCATCTTACCCCTAAACAATTTCAACACCCTTATCACTAGACCTCCTGCCTCAATTCTTGTCCCTTCCAGTCCACATAGCAACCAGAGCATCTTTTCTCAGTAAAAATCTGATCATTTTATCTTCTTTCAAAGGATAAAATGTGAGTTTGCCTGCCATTTAGTGAGTTTTCTAGATTGTGGTCTCTCCTATGGTTGCTTTCTTTTCTTTCTTCTTCATCTTTTCTTCTTACAATCCTACTACAGGATAAAGTCCAACTCTGTAGCATGGCATTCACAGCCTTTCATGGTCTGGCTCCTGTCGGTTTCTCCTGTCCCACATCCTGTTTTGCCCTCCATGACTTTATGCTCTAACCTCATCATGTTACTTTCCATGCATCTAAACATTTTATGCGCTTTCTCATTAATGTACTTTGTTCAACTCTTTCCTTCCCCTGTCTTCTCTACCTCCTAAAAATCTTTCAAGGTCCAGTTGAAATGCTTCCCTCACTGTGAACGTTCTCAAGCCCTGATCAAAATTCATCACTTCTTTTAAGCCTCAGTAGCTCCTGGTTTGACCCCAAATCATTTAAAACTGGAGATGAGCCTCTGAGTGCAGAGACTAGGTTCAAGCCTCCCTGAGGTCCCAGCATAGGACCTGGCCTAAAAAATGATGACTTGCTAAGTGATTCATTGAATCATTCATTTCATTGTGATGCTCCTCCACACCATTGGCACATTGCCTGTCAAGAGTAGTAGGTGAGAATCTATGTCTCCTAGATCTTAACTGAGTGAGCCCTTGATCTTTTCCCCCTCCTCCATCCAGATAATACAGCACAAGTACTAGATGGCAGAGGGTCTCAAAGCCCTTGCATGAATGAAGTGTGGACTAGTCCTAGGTGACTGATTCTTCCTCCCAACTTATGCATTCAAAGAGCCACTCATCAATATTTATCATATTTTCTGGGAGGGAGACCTTGCAGTTAATTACCATTATTTGGTTTATTGATACTTCTACCTATGTGAAGGAGAGCTTTGGAACTAGTGAGTGAATTATGGGTGTTTGAGCTATAAAGTCCTAAGAGTAGACATATTTATAGAGAACTGCTGAGAGGAGGAGAATACCCATCCAGTCCCTTGGTAAAAAAGAACACCGAGTGAGTCTCAGGGTAGTCTCCTAGATTTGGGGGAAGATATCGTCCTGCTAAATAGAACCATGTGGCCTGATATGCTTAGGAAAAACAGTACAGCCACTGGCTGGGGTTGTGGCTCAGCAGTAAAGCTTGTGGCTCAGCATTAGAGCACTTGCCTAGCATGTGTGAAGCGCTGGGTTTGATCCTCAGCACCACATAAAAATAAATACATAAAATTAAAGTATTGTGTCCAACTACACTRAAAAAAAGAAAGGAAGAAAGAAAAAAGAGTACAGCCACAAATTGCCTTATATGTAAATGGTGGGGGAAGGGAAAGCTGAGCTGGTAAACTTATGGAGTATGGTTGAGGGGTGGGAGCCCTGGATGAAGGCTTCCTGATGGAAGTAAGTGTGAAACCTGGTTAATGGAATGGCATGTTTGTTTTGTTTTGTTTTTGTTGTTTTTGTTTAGAGACAGGATGCAAAGTTGTCTTAGGATGTTTTTCTTTGTAATAGACTAAGGATTTCTGAGAAGAAGGAAAGGGAACATTTATTATCACCTACTGTAAACTAGATATGTAGTGCCTTTGTTTCAGGAGGCAGGATAGTTGAGGTGCTGCAGGTAAACCCCAAACCAGACTGAACACTTTACTTCCTGCTCAGCTGGATCTGTTCTCCTTTTTTTCCAGGACCTGAAGGGATCATTAACCTTCTTTCTGCTCTTCCAGTCCCCTCTTTTCCAAAACAATTTCCCCAAAGAGCTAGGAATACCTAGTATTTGGCACCAAGGATTCTTGAGAGGTCCCATGAGCCAGTCTTTGGTTCCAAATAGGTGAAATCTAAGCCATCTAAGCATCCTTAAATGGTGTCTATGCATTATATAAAAAGAACTGTTCTGAAGGAGAGTTCTGATGCCTATCTTCTAAAATGGTTCCACATAGTCCCCTGGAGAGCTGGGATGGGACCTGAAGGAACTCTAAGTTGGTCTTCCAAGAGTGGGACTTTATCTTGGCCGTATCTCTCAGTCTCTGTGATCATGGACAAGCTACTTATTTGTTGTGGGCTTTAGTTTCCCTGTGCATAAAATGGAAGGAGCTATATTAAATAATTCTAGGGCCCTTCTAGCCTAAAGCTCAGTGACATATGGGATAAAAGAAACAAATGAAATTAATGCGGGTTACAATGGTCCAAGAAGGTTTTTATTCCACAGGTATTTATTGGAGTACTATGAAGTACTGTCACAAGTGCTCGTATACATCGATAGGTAAACAGATATAGCTCCTGCATTTATTGAGCTTGTGATGTAGTGGAGAAGTAAGCGAGTAAGCAAGTAGTGAGAGTATACTGTAATGTTAGGATTCTAGCTGAGATCTGAAAAGTGGGGAAGTCACTCAAGCTGAAGGTAATAGAAGCCATCCTCTCCCTCTTGTCTCTCACCATCATAGCATCCTCTGATTCTCCCCAGCTTCAATTTCTGTTGCTATGGAGACTACCAATGGGACTGAGATGTGGTATGAGAGCCTACATGCGGTGCTGAAGGCCTTAAATGCTACTCTTCACAGCAACTTGCTTTGCCGGCCAGGACCTGGACCAGGGTCAGATAACCAGACTGAGGAGCGGCGGCTCAACCTCCCTGGCCGTGATGACAACTCCTACATGTATATTCTCTTTGTCATGTTCCTGTTTGCTGTTACTGTGGGCAGCCTCATCCTGGGATACACCCGTTCTCGCAAAGTGGACAAGCGTAGTGACCCCTACCATGTATACATCAAAAATCGTGTGTCTGTGATCTGACACAAAGGGGCTGGGGATGGTGGAAGATTAAGACACTTGAGGATTGTCTTCTGGAACCTCCAGAACTCAGCTATGGACCACATCGGCTTCACTGTCTCTATAAAGTCAACAAGAAACAGGGCTAAGGGAGGTCATCAATGGGATGTGAGAGGAGGCTACCAGGCCTGGGCCTTGTGGCTAAAACTTTTTATGTAACAGTGGGAGCCCATGAACAAACACAGAACGTACAAAAAAGATAATGACTAATGATTGGTCAAGTGGCAGGAGTACTTGGGGATGGGGTTGAAAGAAGGAGAAGTTGTAGCAAAGGGAAATGAAACAGGAAGATGCTCTGGAGACATTTTTTAAGGTGTTATCTTCAACAACCATGAGATGCAGTAATGATTATCCCATATCGTGGACAGGATGTCTGAGTAAATTTACTTATTTATGTTAGTTCACATTTTTGGGTGGTTTTTAAAACACACACATTTAACATTTGTGGTTTTACCTTTTCTACCCTGCACAAAAAAGCAGGCAAAGTGCCATGCTGCCCATTTGGGCCAGAGAGGTACCATGACTGGGAACCACAGAGCTCTGGTCTCCTTGCCTAGCACTTCAAAACTCTGTGTTACACTGGAGTAGACCCAAGCCTAAAGCATATACAATTCTGGGGATTCTCTTTAAGAAAAAGATTCAGTGAGGCCCTAAACAACTTAATAAGAGCCTGTCTTACAATAAAAAATAAAAAAGGACTAGGGATGTGGGTGTGGCCCCTGGCTCAGTGGTAAAACACTCTAGAGGTTATTACCTGGTACAATAAAAAGAGAGAAGAAAGGAAAATTCAGAAGTACCTTACTTTAGTAAAGATTATAAAAATGTATCACCATATCTCCAGTCATGGGACCTTCACTACATCTAAAGCAGTCTCTTCTGCTTTGATTACATTCTGTGACATATCTTCTGATACTAAGTTGGAATGCTCTTCTAGAACATTATTATCACACCTAAGAGATGATCATATTAACAGATTCAGAAGCCCTGCTTCTGCCACTAATGTGGTAAATGACCTTAGGCTGGTCATTTTTCTCTCTAGTCCTTTTTCTCTCTGGTCCTTTTTATTCTTCAGCACGATGTAATAATTAAACTCGAAAGTCTCCAAGGAACCCATGAGTTCTGTCCTAGGCTTCATATGCTTTAAGTTGAACCATGTAAAATTGCTGTGCTTTTATAGGACAAAAATTGCCAAATATCAGTAATTTCATGTAGTTCAATCTAATTTGTACAATATGGTGAGTGAATTATTTAAAAGCTATTTGCCCTGAATCCCTGACTGGAGCTGCCCACCATTCTGTCTGTCTGATTTCAATTTAAGGGATCTCTATGTGGTACCCAGCAGGCCCCACTGAAACATACATGTTTGTGTATAGCAAAACTCTGAAAGACTATTTTGATCTCTGAGGAATAGAATTATGTATGATTTTTCCCTTTCTACTTTATAATTGTATATATCATACTCGACTTATTTGACCATAAGTATGTTACTTATGTAATAAGTGGGAGAGGAGCTACTTCCACTTTGAAAAAGCAAAAATAAATGCCTTTGTGTTTCTTGAATGGAAGCTTAAGAATGCATTCTCTCCCACAAGCAGTTGGTGAACTACCTGCAAGTCTGTGTTGAGCCCCTTTTGTGTTCAAGCCTTCCTTTAATTCTTCTTGAGGGAGAAAGTGGAGACTTTCTTAAGGAGATGTRCCCTATGGAAAGAACAGATTCTGAAATATACAGCTGATAGGGCTTTAGAGACTGCCCTGCTCAAACTCCCAAATAAAATATGGAGAACAATAGAGTGTAAGAATGAGTGGCCAAGGGAGAGTGCTGTAAGGGTTTTGAGAAATGAGACTGAGGAGCTCTAAAAGAGTCATTGACTGGGTTTTGAAAGATAGGACAGATCTAAGTGAGCAAAGGGAATGAAGGGAAGAAGGCAAAGCAAGCTTGTAGAGAAAAGTGTGAGAAACAGCTTCCTGGAGAGACAGAGCAGCAAGCAGGCCTGGGATGTCTCCTCTAAGACTTCAGAGTCCCCATTGGTAGGAGAGGTTCTCCCTCACACACTTTTCACACTCACAGAGCTTAATAATAAAATAACTCAAATGCCTTTGCTTGCATATTTTAGAAGCCCAGTGTAAATTAGCATAAGCACAAAAGGGGATTTATGAGAGGTCTGGGGTAGCTTCTAAGTTTAAAAGAAAAGCTACAGTTAATATGGCCAATCTAGGGAGCTCTCAGGGCTTTAGAATTAATTATCTATCTGAATTCACAAAGTAGATGATGAGTGTTATTACATTACTGAGAGTTGGACTAAATAAAATTCTAGTATTTAAAGGGTTATATTTAAACTTTCTAATGTGCTATGATGTAGGCATTGCTCTCTCAGCCCTCCCCTTATATTTGTGCCAGCCTGTCTGAAAGCTCTGTTCCAATCATTCCCCCCCCCACATCAGATCTTTGCATAGGTTCTGCCCTCTGCTGGTCAAATGCCAGCACATCACCTTGAACCCTCAAAGCAAAACTTAAATAATCATTCATTCAACACATTACTTACTGAGTGCATACTATGTGAAAGTACTCACCAGGACGTACTTGGGATACATAAGTAAACAAAAAAAAAAGAAGAAGAAGAAGAAAAAGAAAAAAGAAAATAAAAAGAAATCCCTGCTCTCAAACTTCCAAGAGAATGTACTACATGTCAGGCACTGGACTAAGTAAGCATTTACCTCAGAATGACCCTACGTTGTAGGTATTTCTTACAATTACTTCAAAAGAACCTACTTTTTAAAAATCTAGTCCCTTAGTACACACACATGAGCTAATTTAGATCCTGTGATGCTCACAGCCCAGAGTGGATCTGAAATTCCCCAGAAATTAATAAAAACATGGTTTGGGAAAATAGAGCAGAGTATTAACATGTGGCCTGATGCTGGGTTCCCTATAAGCAGAACCTGAGAGAGGCATTCATTGATGAGGAAAAACCTGCAAGTGAGAGAGTGAAGTAGATAGGAAAGGAAAAGAGCCAAACAAAGTGTTTCAGTTTATGTCTACCCTTGGTCTGATCCATAGGGGCACTGTGACATATGGTTGGGACATAAACCACTTGGCAGAATGTATACATCTTTGAGACAAAGGAAACTGTATCAGTCATTGTTGTGAGCCATCCTGTGGAGGTGGAGGGACTGGAGGAAGGTTGCAAGGAGGTTCCCTTCAGCAGAGGGCAATTCTGTAGAGAAGGGAGGCCAAAAAAAGTAGGAAGACGACTCTGCTCTACTCAGTTAGATAATTACTACTTAGAATAAGTGCTGCCATCTTCAACATGTAATGTCCAAGTCAATCTGGTCAAAGCATTTCTAGCTAGTGAGGAGAGACAAAGAAGTCCAGGGCAGGCAAAATCTGCATTCATTTCTTCTGCTCAGATCCATTCACAAGGACATAGGCCACAAATGGCATGGGACTAGTGAATGAGGTGACTATCTGGGTAGTCATGTTCCAGCCAAATGTCTACTCCTATGGAAGAAAGAATGGATTCTGGCACACAGCCAGAATGGTCCTTACCACACATTCATCCCTTTCTCCCCAGGACTAGTAAGATCACAACATTTACAACTCTTTCAAGAAGGGAAAAGTGCTACTACTCTGATGAGCTCATGCTTTTAGATGGGTGAGGATGGGAGTCCTATAAATAACTAATCCTGTCTTGAGAATGTAACTTTTTCTCATTTTTTTTCTGGCACCATGGAGTCTGGCTCTCCTCTCATTAGAATAGTAATATCAAGATATTGGTATTATCTTACCATAGGAGGAATAGACAAAGCATGGCTTTCAGCCAATATTGTACTCTTTCAAGTGTCACAAAGAAGTCAAGAACATAATCCTCCTGGATGAAATCAGAGACCCCATCTGTGGCAGTGGTTAAACTGACAGAGAATGAGGTCCTGGGAATAAAGGAGTCAGAGATTAGTGAAAAGGGAAGAGAAACTAATTTGATGAACAACTGCATCCCTTACTGCAATCCCCTGAGCCATAGGGAACTGTCTTACTAAGGTTACAACCCCTCTAGGAGCCTCTCACAACCAACACAGAGGGATACTACCTCTGCTATACTACCTCAACTTGGTCAATTCTGAGGGATCATCTCAGCTCCAGAATAGGATCAGCTGAGTCATCAGTTGCAACCACATTGTGAGTTAGCTCCTTCTTTTGCCACTCCAGCTTCCTCATTTCCTTACTTATACATCGTCCAAGAACACTCCCCCAAGAAAACCTGCATGAAATTTTCTCTACCTTAGTCTGTTTCCAAAGAGAATCAATATCTCCTTCTAGAACTGTGCCCTAATACTGAGCTTATTCCAAACGAAAACTAGAGGAATGGGATGACAGAATGTAGATGGAGTCTGTCTAGCAAACCAAAAAGGAAAAAAGGCAATGATGAGACCAGCAGTGCAGAAACAGCCAGTTATGTTCATTGAATAAAAAGAACTAGCCTCTAGAGGGCCCAGCACTACAGCTCTGCAGCTCTGCTTCTACTTCACAGCATAGAACTTAACCCTCGACTCCCAGCATAATTGTCTATGAAAGGGAAAAAACTGTTGGCCCATTATTCCCTTCTGCTTTACATATTCCAGGGATACCAGTGTCCTAGGTTCTTATAATACCTTTAATACTGATCCCTCTGTACCATTGCATATACTACACTTATTCTCCCAAATCAAGGCTTCCAAAGCCTGTTTTTTTTTCCGGCTGCCCTGTACCCTCATTATTTTCAAGGGGTTCTGAAGATATGAAATGTAGAATTCCAAACAGTTGGTTGGGAGGGTTCATATAGGAATGGAGAGAATTGGCAAAATAATCTGTTCAGTCCTGGCACTTGCTCCACCCCTTCTACTTTCCCAATTAGCAGCGAAGATAAGACATATAGGCTTTGGGGCTGTGGCTGTGGCTCAGTAGTAGAGTACTTACCTAGCATGTGCGGGGCCCTGGGTTCGATCCTCAGCACCACATAAAAATAAATAAATAAAGGTATTGTGTCCAACTACAACTAAAAAAATTWAAAAAAAAAAAGACATACAGGCTTAGGTCTAAGATATAGAAAGGGTCATGGGAGCCTGAAAAGTCCAAGCACATTGTATAATGAAGTGAATTAATTAATTTTCTGATGTGTACTTAGTAAATAGACTTAAAGGAAATATT